AAGAAGACCCTGGAGTTTTTGCAGAGGAATTGGACGGTTTCAGAGCAAGCCCCAACCGAGGACCCTGTCAGTGATGACATGGCGATCATCACGAAGTACGGCGGTTTCTTTCACAAGGGCAACTGCAAGTGGGTTCAAGGCCGTGTGACACAAACTGTGCCTCGAGCAACTGCAGTTCAGATGGAACGAGGAGCTTGCAGAAACTGTTTCGGATGGCCAAAGGGCCGGTGAAAGCGTGAGAGAACTGAGAGCCGTTTTGCGCCTTGGAGGGCATGGCTTTTAGTGCTTAGCGTCTCACTTTAACGATGCAGTTTGGAGCTGTTACTCGGATTTGCGGAGAGGTGTGAAAATCCCTTTTCGCTTCACTTCAGGGAGTTTCAAGGCGGGGTGCTAAGATTTCATTTTTGTGTAAGCCCCAGCTTGGTGTGATAGGTGAGCATGTATCTAGTTTGTCACTTGGATGCATGAAACCATGCAATCGACTTGAATCTGGCAGGCGTGAAAGAGTTCAAAACATTAGCAAAAACAAACAGACAGGAAGTGTTGACTGAAGCCGCCAAACATGCCGCCAAAAGTGCTCGTGACATTGCATGTAGTTCCTGATACTTACATACCAAAAGTGTCATGTTACATATAGCTGCTACATACAAAATGTTTGAAGTCGTTGCTGTTGTTGTGAAACAGTTGCGCTGGTCGTTCGTAGTGCTAAATGCGTACCCCGATGCTCTGGATGAGCCTGTGTAGCGTTTCCTTGCTGATGTGTGTGGTAAACAAACCTGCGCTGTTGTGGGGTGTGTTGATCTTGAGGATTCTTATGATGTCGTGTTTGATGAGGTCTTGCGCGCAGAGGAGTTTAAGGTCGATGTGGTTATGCCTTACTACCAGGGAATCAACTTCATGTTTCAACATCATCTTTCCGTGTGGCAGCAGAACACAAGCTACAATGGCACTCAGTTCAGCAGAATCTGAGCTCTACGCAATTTGCGCAGGAGTTAATGAGGGACTACACGTCAGAAACTTCCTACTCGAAACAAACATTTGCAGCAAACTAAATCTACGCATTCACACAGACTCCGCACAGCAGGCAAGAGCATTGCTACCCGACAAGGCACAAGCAAACGAGCACAGCATCGACATGAGCGTGGGGATCCAGGATGCTGTTGGTGTTTGCTCATAGTGTTGTTGTTGGTTCTATGGTGAATTTGTAGTGGTTGGCACCGCGCAAGTAGCAGAGTAGGCGCTTGACTCTCTTTTGCGAAAGTTCTGTAGGTGCTGTGAGGTCTCGCACTTGTTCTGTTTTTGCGTAGGCAATGTCTGGTCTTGTGTACGCTAACCATTGAGGTGTACCAACAACTCTTCTGCACCTTTTGTGTTGCTCATGGTCGAGTAGCGCTTCATCCTCGATTGTTGGTTTGCGGCGGGCGATTTCTGGAGCGGTCACCGCGTTGCAGTTGTTCATTCCAGTCTCCTCGTTGATGCTGTTGATGTAGGAGTCCTCCAACGTTTCCCCCAAGGAACCGCGGTGGTTTGCCAGGCTCGCACCTGCTTCTGGATGGCCTCGAAGATGGAGTCGGCAGTAGTCTTCTTTCCAAGTACCAACAGGTCGTCCACGCAGACCATGATGTAGCAGTCGCGAGTTGCAGTGGTGTCAAAGTTGGGTTCTGGCTGTAGCATTACAAAGCTGAGCTTTTGCAGTACTTCAGCCAGGTAGTCCTGCCATGCTTTAGGTGAGCTGCGTAGCCCACACATGGCTTTCTTTAGCCGCTGTAGTCTGTTCTGTAGCGGACAAAGTTCTTTAGGTGGGCAAAGGTAGACGTGGCGTCGTTTGCCGTCATGGTCTTTTGCGACGGGCGCGTGTAGAGCGGAGACGTCGCCTAGTCGCGCGATCCACTTTGGTCGTGACATCTGTAGTGCGAGAAGTGTCAGTAGCGTCGTGAACATTGGTGTAGAGGCGTAGACGGAGTCTTCGTCCTCAATCTTCTCTGTGTAGCCTTTTGCGACAATGCTACTTCGCACGCCTGGTCCTTTCTGTGGACCCATCTTGTAGGGATTGCTTCTTTGATCACGTTGTCGTCGACTGTAGACGCATCTACTTAATTCGTCGTAGACGTCATGTAGTTTCATTTGGTTTGACTCATGTTTCATTCCTTCCAGTAGTTGCGCTTCGTCGGAACCTTCATTGTCGAAGATTATGGGTTGGTCTTCTGAGGCGTCGTCGTTTGTGTAGGAAGTGATGGATGCTCCGTTGGAAAGTGTCACTGCGTTAATTCTTTGTCGTCGTGGTTGTGGTTCTTTGGTTGCTTCTTCCGTTGATCTGATTGTAGTGTCCTTTGAGGTCTTTTGTGCTTTGGTCGGTCGCATTACTTCTTCCGGAATCATGCGTCGTAGTGTTTGTCGAGGTGGCGCTGGTAGCGGTGGATGTTACCGTCCGGTCGGTGAAGTCGCCATGGGGCTGTCCGGCGGCGGTCGTGAACTTGACGTCGAGGTCGACGGAAGTCGTAGAGGTGACGTAGCGCGTTGTTGTTTCGTTGCAGGTTCCGCGACGACGTCGTCCGTCACGTTCATCTGTCGCCCAGCATCTTGCGTAGCTTCTCTCTTTTCTGACCAGTGGAGTTGCGTGTCCAACAGTGTTGAGAACGACGGGTTGTAGGTGCTCCGTCGTGGCGCCCAAGGTGCGCCGGAAACTTTGTTTAGCAACGCGAGGTCGTAGTTGAAGTCCGGCTGTAGTCTCCGTACTGTTCATGCTTGTAGTGCGTCTTGTTCTGTTGCGACGTAGTTTTCTCCGTTTTCAGAAGCTTTTCCGAGCCAGATTCATTTCTGCATTCGTAGGTCTGCTTCTGGAAGTTTCTTGTGTGGTGGATACTGGAGCTCCCCTATGTTTAGGATCTGCTGTTTACAGCGCTGTCATGTTGGAAACACAAACAAACCTGTAGTCTGCACAGCTCCTGTTTTGCATGGGTTCCCGACGTAGCAAGCTCAAGGCCTGCGGCCATGCACAAGCTATGTAGTACAACAGCGTGTACTTTGACATCTCTCTCTCTCTCTCTCTCCCTCTCTCTTTTCTCTGTCTTTCCCGTTAATATCAAACTGACAAATACGAGCGCAACTGCTGGCGTGCCTTCTCAGCTAATGGGCCCCGTGTTTTTTCAGCTAAAAGAAGAAATCTTGTAGCCACCTTTCAGGACGCTTAATGTGGCAGCGGCAGACGCCCGGCCCATCGCCGCCAAGACCGCGCTCCCTCCACGGGCTCGATGCCGTCGGGGCAGAGGATCGGGGGGAAGGGGGCGGCCAGCCCGTTGCGCCTGCAGCGCCTGCAGCGCACCACGTCCACGCCGTGCAAAGCGTCCTTGTGGCACGCCTGCGCCTCGATAGTATGGATTGAGGCCAGTCGCGCGCAACACACGCAGCACAGGATGTAGTTGCTGTTTCTTGGCACGGCCCCCCGGCATCTCACATACTCAAGCTATCAGAAAGGCAGCAAAAGGATTGTAGTCGTTTTGAAGGAAGGCGTCGCAGATCTCACGTCTGTAGTCTCAGCTATCCTTCAAAGAACAAAGTAGTCACTTCAGGGCTCGCTCTTCTACAGGTTGAACGGAATGGCGCTGCTGAAGTCCTGGATGTGGTACGCATCCTTCTCAGGTATCGCATTGCTGACTGTGGTCGCGCTCTTGTCGGTTGGCCTGTTGTAGGGTGATTTGGGCGGCCTAAAGTCAAGTACTCTATCAAGTAGTCTTGATCAAGCAGTCTTGATGCGCCACATCTCAAACGTAGTAGGGCGTCATGATCCTGAAGTTGTCCTGCTTGTAGGGTGCGAAACTGACTCTCCGCAAGATTGTAGTTGTAAGTCTGGCGCGTAGTTCTTTGGACAACTGTGTGTGTGTGTGACGTTGTCGTCGGTCTTGCGTTCGCGTCGCTGCTGCTACGTCAAGGTGTGCTGCTGGTAGTTGGCGCTGCGGTCATTCCATGATGTTGTCTCTGATGCTTTCTTCCCAAGTGGTGGAGTAGGTTTGTTTTTGAAGGAGCGACTTTGCTTGTCTGACGTGTCCAATTGTGAGGTGTGCCTCGTTGGTGCCTCCAATGTAGTTTGCTGCGTCTTCATTTCCATGATTGTTCCAGCTCCAGCTGTCGTAGTCGTTCCAGCCGTAGTCACTGCCAGTTTCTGCGCGTGTATTCTCCATCATGTCCATGTCCTGCTTCTTCGTAGCAACCAATCCCAGGTGTCGTTTTGCCTTTCTTTCCTTCTTTGTAGTGCGCTCTACGAAAGTTTCTATCCTTGGTGGTATCCTCTGAATGGCCCACGTCCATGGGCGCCTGTCACGCCAATGTAGTCCTGCGCTCCCACATCTCTGAGTCATGATTCAGCACCCAGTTGAAATGTTGTCGGAGTGCTCCTTTGGTCTCAATCAGTAGTACCGTAATTTTAACTCCATCAGGTAGTAGCAACTGACATCGTTTTCCCATTGTAGGAATTGTTCTTCAAATTGCTTTTCTTAGCAGGATGGGCGCGAAAGGTTCACCAAGGCAGTTCCCCTTGTAGTCTCTGGACGCACCGCGTCAAAGATGCGTTGATGCTCAACTGGGCTCGTAGCCACATCTGAGCGGAGTAGGAATCGTATCAGGCTCTTTGTCAATAAGCCACAGGCAGGCCTGTAGGTCAAACCTCCAGTCTTCGTAGTTGTAGTACTCGCCATTGAAGTAGGGCGGCAGTTTGCGTTTGCGTTGTCCTTGCACTTCGCTTTCTTGCTGTAGCTGCTGTGTTGCTCCCACTGCTCCAGCTTTGTTTGGTTCCCCCTTGCGTTGGGGAGGCTGGTCTTGTAGGGATGCCTGCTGACGCATACTAGTACGATGTGGCTGCTGGGGCGTGCTCCGCTACCGCACGTCACAAATCAACAACACAAAACGTGTCGTGTAGTCTGCCAATCCACTCCGTGGCTCTTTCCTTTTAACATCCTTTAACGTTGCTTCCTCCCTCTCTCTCTCTCTAACTCTCATCCCGTCGCCTAGCTGTTGTAGCGCTGCCTTGGGCGTGCTCTTGTCGGGGAAGCATCGAATCACGCAAGGGAAAGATATGCGGAATACGACACGGATACGACACGAATAAGCTCACACTACTCCACAACAAGGTTACATCATGATTGCATTGTGTGAGATCGGAGTTTGGCATGCTTGCGATGCAATGCGTCAAGTCATTTAGATCACGAATAGAAAGCCACAAGTCTTTCAAGGCCTTGCTTTCCAGCCGGGCAGACTTCTCAGTGGCTACCTTCAGCGCAGCCTGACATTCAAAAGGATGCCTGATGCATGCAATACAGCTGCAACTTGCAATGTCTCCAAGCTTGTGCTTTGCCATAAACACTATCAGGCTTGCGCAGTGCTAGGCCGCAACATGCCAGGATCTAGAGCAACGTGCAAGTTGCAAAACTTGCAAAACTTGCAAAACTTGTGATTCGAAGGCCTGTAGACGGCCAATGTCCACTGCACTCTTTGCAGCCTGACTGCCGTGCGGCACGGATTCAAGTCGAGGCCGGGGCCATGGCGCTGGATGCCAGCTCACCAGCCTTCGAACCAAACACGCCACTGCGAGTCATGGCGAAGGACTCACCTGACGATTGTTCTCTTCGCGGTAGAGCTGCAGTTGATGCTGGTGCTCCTGTCGCAGTGACATGTGCTCAACCTTTCATACTCACTCTGCACAGCGTTAACATGCGCATGTAAACAAGGAGCAGACCGAATATAAGCAATAACAAAAGCAATGTTCGCTGTGAAAGGGGCGAAGGCAATACGTTCAATTCTGGCAGTCCCGCAGTCGGCGGTCAGAACCTGTACAGCATGCGGACAGCCAAATGCTGCCGTTCGGCGCTTGCTCACGAGGTCAGAGTCATAAGGCTACCGCAATCGGATCAAGCAATCTTTCACATCAAAACAATTCGGATCATCTTTCAAGATTTCTCAAAAGGATCTCTGGGTGTCCCCAACTTCGCAGCTCGAGCTCTGCAGCCTCCACGTGCTTCCGCCTAAGCGCAAGTCGGCGCAAGCGGCACGGCCCCCGAAAACCGGGGACCGGACAAGCGCTCCACTTCAGCGGCGGAGGTCCTCGCAGCCTCCAGGGCCGAAGCCAACGCGCCTCGAAAGAATAAACGAGGAACAGACGAGGAAAAACAAAAAGCAAAACAAAAAGAAAACTTGGTTTTCTTTAAAGAAAAGCCCCGTCAAGCTGTCAGGTCCGAAGTTCTGGGCTCAAGGCCGCCCCCGCTGTCCAGGGCCTGAAGTTGCGCCTGCGCAGACTGGGCCTGGAAGGAAGCTGGCCAGTCGCCTGCCTGCAACTCTTGGATCACCTGATTCTTTGTGCTGATGATGGTTGCCAGCTGGTCCTCATTTCGAGCCCAGCGGCTGTCACGATGCAAAAAAATGGAACCGAGAATTCAGTCAAAGCACAAGCCCAAGGACAGGGCCGAATTGTCTGCCAAAAAGTCTCGCTGGTCAGCGTCCTGGTAAGCCTGAAGCCGGTCCTCGCAGCACGGCAACTCGCTTGAATCAGCCATACTTCCATGAGAAACGCGTCCAAGCCATGACGCTTGCAGCGTCGCAATCTCTGCGTCACGTTCTTCCAAAGCTTGCTGCAGCCTCAGCTCCACTTCCCGACATGCGAAAGCAGTGAAGCAGAAGCACGTGCTGCGTGGCGCACCCTGCTATGTCCGGAGCTCCTGCGGGTCAGGGAAGACGAAAAGTCCCGGATCGAATCCAACCAAAGGAAATCATTGGTCGCGCCTCGCAAAAGGTCTAACATTGGTTCTCACGCCCCACACATGGAAAGTCTCATGTCTGGTCGTTGGTCCGGGCCTAGTATTGCCAAGTGTCTACCTAAAAGCAAAGTCTGGTGGATTTGGGCTTTGCGTTGCGGTTTGACTTGGCTGTAGACATGCGCAACCCTGCTTGATGCATTCGAGAAGTGCTGAGTGTTGCTTCCGAAGGCTATCATACGTAGCAATTGCATCTTCTTGCAGCCCAAAGTCACTGTTGGCTCTCGGGGCACTTGGGGTGAAACATCGATCGGAAACGACACGTGCACGCGCGTCAGCCAGCTCTTGCCACATGAGCTCCCAGCATGTTGAGGGCCTCATTCAGGATTCATGAGTTCAAGGCGTAGGTGCCGCACATCTCTTGAAACCTTTGAGCAGCAAGCCATCTCTTTGACATGGCGATTGCCAGCCGGCACAAAGCGTACTGGAAAGTACTGAGAGGGGGCAAAAGCTGATGAACGGAACTCTGGACAAGAATTCCATCTTCCGTCCGTGGTCCTCCGGAGTATGGGTGGTACTTGCAGGCGCTGCCTGCGAAGGCTCAAAAACTCAGGAACGGCACCACCGCCCGAAGCACCTGGAACTTGTCCTTGTACGTCGTGCGGAAACGCTCCTCCGGAGGAATATCCACAGCCTCCCGTGCGCCAAGTTCACAAGGCTGACATGCAAAGATCAATGTGATTGAGTGACTCGGGTACGCGGAGGTGACGTTATGTGAATCACAACCGTTGCTCGAACCTCTTCTCCAGCTGCCGCAGCACAGGGCGGTAACGGCTTCAACACCTCAAGCGAAGTCTTCAACACCTTGTGTAGCCACAATAAAAGGGACCCTCAAGGCCTATACACGCGCCGTGCCTTCTGACACTACGCAGCCTCTTCTCTCCGCAAAGGGTCGGGCTCCTTGGGGCCCAGACCGCTGGGACGCCGTAGCCAAAGCTGGGCCTCGACACTCGGCAAATCACGAAGAGAACCGAGTCACTGAGGCTCTTGCGGCTGGCTCTTTGGCAACGGGAGGATGCCCAGCTCCTGGCCCGACGTTCGTCCATGGCAATGCGCAACAACGCGCGAGCAAGTGTCAAGCTTTCGAAAGAAAGAACACGAGGCTCAAGCGTGTCGAGAAGAATTGTAGTCTCACAGTGGCACTGTGACCGAAGCGCGGGCGGACCAGCTTTGGCCCAAGGAGCGGACAGTGTACCAACCCAAGCCGCCCATCGGCTGTTGCAAGACACCAAATTGGCGGAATGCACAGAAACATGTCGCTGATGTGCACCTTTTGCAGTGGCCCGTCAGGTTTGATGGAGTGCTTGGGCCCAGCGACGAATTCCTTGACTGTGCCATTGCTATCCTGAAAGATCATCAACACCGTGCACGGGAACCTCCATAAACCGCCGCAGTGCGCAAGCTACCAGCGCATAAACGCTGCGGGTCAACGAGTCCATCTGTGATCCGTTTCATGCGATGCGCCCTTGGACGTGTCCACACACGGCCATGGTGGACCTGAAGTCACGCATCCTCCGGGCTGCACGCTTCGCTGATAAGCTACACAGGCTTACACAGGGTGCACAAGACCCTGGGATGATGCTATGATGCTTGGGGTGTAGGCCTGCGCCTTGAGACTGCCAGACACTCGCCCATGCCCCAAATTCTCTCGCACTCCAATCGCACCGTCGAGAGCGTGTATTTGCTCAGCGCCCTGAGCCCGCCTGCACTGCGATATTCCTCTCTTTCCGTTCGCCTGGCCTCAACCACACAACGCTTCCGACCTCTGTTCACCATTGCCTCACGGACCTGGGCCTTGCCAACACGGACTCCGGACACCTAAGCAACGCCCGACAAGATGCCAAAATGTGGCTGAACCCTGCCTGGAACTCTGCGCGGCCTCCTGAGCTGGCGCCACTGGAAATCTGAGTTCGGTTCGTGTCAAAGGCCTTGGGCATGGCGCTCATGGCGTGCATGGCGCTCAGGTCATCCCAATCCTGTAAAGACTGGTGTGGGGAAGCGGCCATGCAATTGGCGCACCTCTGCCACAGGGTCAGGTGTAGGCGGGTCAACGGGCCTGCGCGCAAGTTGCCATCCACACGTCAGCTCTTACACGCCCGCCTTCTTGGCCATGGGCCCGTGACCTTGCCAAACATGTGGTCACTGCGACCACCGCACCCCAAACCGTACACCTGTTTGACGGCGCTTGATTGGCCCATCACCCTTCAAGCCATTTAGAGCCTGCCCCTGCTTGATTGCCACACACAGGCCTTTTTTCAGGGCAGCCAACCTAAGGAGAAGATACACACCGTGGTAGCGGTCTCTGTAAGAACCTGATGTCTGCTGGATGGCGGCGCAGCAGGCTCTCTTTTCTATGGCAAGCGCAACGAATGCTCCGCTACTGGAAAGAAGGGCCTCGAGCCACAATGGTTGCGTGACCGCCATAAGGTGAGTCTGAAAAACAAACAACAAAGCAGACACAAATTTCTTTTGATTCTTGGCATCGTACTGTCTGAAGGCCCTAAGCCGTGCCACTTATATGCGCCGTGGCCATTGAGAAAACCCTTTCAATCGATTTCGAGCATGATTCACATATATGGTCAACTCGGGCATGCTTGGCTTGCACAAACCGAACTGCACATGAATAACGGCAAGAAAAAGTTGACACCTAGTCGTGTCAACATGTCCGCAGTGTCCTAGCTGCCTCTGAATCTGAAGCCTGCGTTCATGAACGCCTTCCTTTTGCTGAATCATGACAGAAGAATGCGTCGACCTTGTTGGCGCATATGACGCGAGCGCCGTTGTGGGAGCAGTTTGCCCATTAGCCTCTCATCAGTCGGACTTGCAGAAACGACTCGTCTCCTCGAGATTTGCGTCAGCATGTTGGGCACAGTTAACGTTTGGCGCCTGAAGTGCGCTGAGGAGTGAGCCCAGCATTTTCAGGGGCGCGGTCTCACAAACGGTGAGGGCGTTCTGCTGCCTGATACTCAAGCTTGGCCTGCTGGAACTCCTTCTCTGCCTCTCTCCATGGTCTCGACGAAGCTGATGTTGCAGCGCTTGTTTGTCTGAGGCGCGCTTTTTGATTAGAATCAAAAGGATGACTATGATTTTTTGATTTTAAAAAAAGTATGGAAAATCAAAAGAGATTTACAAGTGTTGTGTATGTGTTTTTGGTGAGTATAAACTAGTGTTTTGTTAAATGCTGTCTTTTGATTTTTTGTGTTCTCAAAGTGGTGAACATGAATGCATTCACTGTCAGTTTTTGGCTCAAGAAATATAAGATATAGAGCTAGATATAGAGGGTTTGGAAAAGGCCAGAAGGCCCATGGCAGAAGAAGAAGAGACAGAGCCAGGCTTTGGAAAAGGCAACAGGAAAGGTGGTGCCAGACACTTTTCCAAACCCTATGTGGACAGTGGCTTATTGCTCACGCTTTGGAGCAAAATCAACAGATTTTGCAAGACTTGAAAAACCATGAGTTGACTAGCAAATGCAACTCTCCAGAGCGCAAAGGTCTGGTACAAACCCTTCCCTTGTAGAAAGGGCTGCTGAGGCTGGAAAGCTCTGGAGAAATCCATACCCAGCCACTTCGAACAGCCCTGATCACAGTGTTGGCCCAGGCCCCAGGCCTCAACACAACTTCCAATTCAGGGCAGGTCTGGGCCCCTTAGAATGGAAAGGATTAGCACAATCCTGTACCATGTGGGAGGGCCTGCTTTCATGTGCAGCCAGGCTGACAAGGCAGGAATATGAAAACCTGCAAAATGGCTTGCAACTGTTGGATGGGAATACTTTGCGAAAGGTAAATGCAGGAAAAGGAACAGGCTTTGGAAACGGCGCAGGCTTTGGAAAAAGCACAGGCTTTGGAAAAGGCACAGGCTTTGGAAAAGGCACAGGCTAAGAGAAAGCTTAAACAACATGACAGTGAAGTGAATGGACAGCCAAGGGTACCCAAACATGTTTGGGAGCCCAGCACCCACAGACAGGGAAACAAAGCCAGTTGCAGCCATGGCCATGGACAGGAGAAGGCCTGGTGGGAAGGCCTGGTAGTAAAACAGCACCGGGCTTTGGGGTTTGGCACACAGGCATACAAGAGGCCTGCTGCTTTGGGAAAGGTAAAAAAATATGCTACTTTGGAAAAGGTGCAAAAAGTTGTGAAGCAGGTGAACAGGAAGCCTTGGGTGAAAATCTTGAGGACTGAAGCCAAGAAGTCAAACCCTAGGGCTTATTTGGGAGGGACCAAGGAGGAAGGTGGCACCTTGCACCTCATTGTTGAAGTCACAGCCAAGAGGTGAGAGGGCTTTTTGGAAATCACAGATCAGATTTGGACATCTTTGGAAAAGGATCATCTGACAAAGAAAGAAGCTGTGAACCTCAGAGAAGAGTTGTGCAAAAAATGGGGCTGCTAGATCACAAGATGTGGGAAAGTGCGTGCTGTGTGAGAAAAACTTGGCTTTTGAAAATGCCATGAAAGGCTTTGGAAAAGGCCATGGAAAAGGCCATAGATAGCTATGTTTCTACCCTGAAGCGAGGTTTTTCGACTAAGTAGCCAAAGTCATATTAAAATTTAGAGATGTGTCACAAATATATCACGTTAAAACACTTTTGTAAAACAAACAAATGGTTGTCAAACAAGAAGTTGTGAACTTGTTGGTATGACTGTTTGTTTCCCTGCAGCTTTTCAGCATGAGTATGGCCACACACGCACATGTGCAAACACACGCACACACACACACACTTCACAGCGTCACACAGCATCAGATGGTAGGAAACATAGCAGCAACAGCCGCACAAGATACAACACAGCAATGTTTAGGTTGGATACACATATAAATCGTAAGTTCTCTCACAAGTCACTTTCCACCTGTAGCTGTAGCTTGTTGATGGTTTAGAGCGCAGCCAAGTTTGGGGAAGCTTGCGCTGCTGCTAGGTTTGGGAAAGCCTAGCCTGGCTTGGGAAAGCCCAGTCAGGATTTGGAAAAACCCAATCTGGTTTTGGAAAAAGCCAGCCCATGTCGCACCAAAACAAATGGGGCTATTGGGGTTACAACTGCAAGGGCTGGCGGGAGGGGTCTGGCGCCAACACAAAAGCAGCCAGGTAACACCTGCAGTGTAGCTTCCTGGCTGAGAATGTGTTTGGAAAAGCACTTGGAAAGCCTGAGGAAGGCTGCAGAGAAGGCAGAGAGGAAGCTGGAGGAGGGAGAAGTCTTTGGAAAAGGACAGGGACCCTTCTTCCTCTTCCTCCTTCTCAGTGAGCAGACCTTCAGCGGCCAAAAGGAAGCACAGCAAGATGCCTTTGGAAAAGGGCAAAGCTGATGCCGAAGATGAACCTTTGGAAAAGGGTGACATGGAAGTCAGGAGGACCAGGAGGTGCAAAAATCAAGAAAAAGAAAGGCTTCTGGAGATGAAGGAGGATCAGTCTTTGGAAAAGGATGTTCCAAACAAGAAGGATACCAACAAGTCTTTGAAAAAGGACAAGCCCAGCAACAAGGTGAACAAGGAGGAGGTCCAGGGCAAGTGTTTGGAAACGGACAAGCTCAGCAAGGAGCAGGGCAAGTCTTTGGAAAAGGACAAGCCCAGCAAGGAGGTGAAGAAGGAGGATGCAAGTCTTTGGAAAACCACCAACCCACCAATAGTTGAACAAGGAGGACCGGGGCAAGTCTTTGGAAAAGGACAAGCAGCCTTTGGAAAAGGACTTATTGGCCAGCTCCCCCTCTTGTGGAGAGAGAGCAGGCAAAGCTCAGGCCAGCCCCACACAAGCCAGTGGTGGTGGTGGACTGGCATGAGACTCTGGAAATTGATGGAGAAGTATGAAGAAGCCCTGGAAAGCTGCTGGAGATGGCCCATGTCCACATCCTCTCCTATGTGGAGTCTAGCAGCAGGGAAAGGAAGGCCCACCAGCATGCCAAAGCCCTCAAATGCTTTGGCAAGCTGGCAGGGGCGCACACCTGCTGGAGCAAGTGGGGGAGGAATGGCAAAGCTGACTAGTGCCATCTTTGACAATCACTCTGGGGTGATCAGGGTTTGTTTGAGAGATCGCATGATGTGTTTTGCCATCCAAACCCCAAAGCAAGACCACAGAAAGCTGAATGCAAGCATAATCTTCAAGAGCTTTGCAGAAGCTGTGGATCAATACTTTGGAAAAGGGGGAGCTGGAAGGCCTGTCAAAGAAAGAAAACGGCATGAAGGCTGCTGAGTGGCTGATGAGAACAGCTGCCAAGAAATACCTTCATGTCACGAGAGAAGTAGCTGCTCAACACTTGGAAGTCAGAGAAACAAATGCTGGACCAATTCGGTTGGCAAGAGCTCCAGGCCCACCTGGCCTCAGGCAGGGTCATTTGGAGGCATGACCCTCATACCCCCTCTACCAATGCAAAGACTTGCAACCCTACAAAGGATCTGTGGTGGTCAATAGAGGGCAGAGATGGAGCCTGGTGAAGTGGTGGTCAGCAGTTTGACCACAACAAACGATCAGAAGCTGAAGGACCACCCCATGTCTTTGGGAAAGGACTGGGAAAATAAAACCATTCCCTTGTTCATTCATGGGGATGGCGTGGATTATGCCAACAATGACAATCTGCTTGTCTTTTCCTGGGGCTGCTTGGCCAGTAACCTCCCAACTTTGCTGAACCATTGGCTTCTGGCATGCTTCCCCAAGTCTTGTGGCACAAAGAAAACTTGGGAAGTTCCTTGGAAACATCTGCACTGGTCTTTTGAAGCTTTGGCATGTGGCAGGAATCCCACAGTGGACCCAAATGGCAAGCCTTTGGAAAAGGGCTCGGTGTTTTTGGAAAAGGGCGCAGCTCCTCCACCCTCAAGGGTTGAAAGGGGTGCTTTGGAGTGTGATTGGGGATCATGAATTTTTAAGTAATACACTTGGTCTGCCCCATTGGGCATCTCATTTTCCTTGTTGAGAATGCGATGCTGAAAATTTCACTCCATGTAGCTTTGGAAAAGGGTACAAGGAGATCTGTTTGGAAAAGCAGAGATTTGTCCTCTACACACATGAAGAGTGTGTGGGTGACCCATGGAGTGATCATGCAATTTTCAATCTCCCTTGGGGTCAGCAGCTGCATGGTCAGAGGAGATCCCCTCCATACTCTTTTCTGCAAAGGAATTTATGGCCATGTAATTGGTGGTGTGCTTC